TGGCCCTATTACGACGAATTACCGACCATTTCAGCCGTCGTAAAATGATGTTTTTCTTGTAGTGTTCGTTCACATGGGCGGCTGGTTGATTTTACTTTGTCAAGACTCAAGAAGAAAATATCTTGACCTAGTCATACTTACACAAGTTTTAGTGATCTTTCGGAGATTTTTCAAAGTTCGTTGCAGGAGTATACAGCCAGAAGTGGAAACTAGGACGTCAAGAATATTATGATTGAATTACCAAACAAAAAAAGAATACTATATTTGATTGACCATTTGCTTGAGGGGCAAGAAAACCTCGATACTACGATATAACCTACTTACCCCAATGTAGATACTATAATCAAGGTCGTTGTTTAACATGTGCAAGTGCAACAATTTAACAGGATCTCGATTCAAAAGAAAACAAAATTCTTAAGAAAATTTTCAATATATGTATATAAATTGGAACCTAAGTTTTTGTATATATTAAAATCTATAATAAAAAAAATTTTGAACAGAGGCTACAAATACTTTGAAACGGTTTTTACCATAATTGTCTTCAAATTACGAATCCAATATGAATAATCCGTACACGTTAAGTTCTTGGGATTTTTTTTTTTTTTACATATTGAGACATATAAATCCATGTCATTATTGACATGGATTTTAATTTGCGGTTCAGTATTTCTTTGTTATGAAAATAAAAAGTTAAGATTATCATATTACACACGATCATTTGTCCAAAAAAAAAGTGATATAACGAACACGAGCTACCTGACCAATATAAACGATGATGTTGTGAGCGGATGAACTCTCTTTCTGCTACCAATGTTAAACCGACATTAAGCTAAAACGACATGAATTAGCTTGCTTAATTCGCAAGTAACGCCACTCAACGAAATAGTTGTCGACGCATTGGAACCAATTGTGTGCTACGAAGAGCTCCAAATCCACAATGCAATTCAATTGGGAATGATAAGGCCGGAAAGATTGACATAAACACGATTGGTCATGCTTGGAAAAGAATCAGACCTCACGAGCCGACGGTGGCCGCAAATACTTTTTTTTCCCCTCGCGATGAATGCCGATAACAAGAATTAAAGACGAACTGAAAATTTCTAAAGGTTTATTTCATTAATAAATATCTACCAAAGCTTTACATCATTTGTATGCTTAAATAGTATAGATGACACCAAACGGAACCGAATTTCGGTGATAAATGTTCATAAAGATACTACAAAAAAGCATGCCGATTTCCAGACACGATTTCCAACGTGGCAAAAAGATCCATCAGAAATTTTCTGACAGTTTTCCAACACCGGTTCCGCGAAAAAAGCACCCATCGTATATCACTCGGAACTTTGCGATGGGTTACTTGTCATTGGTAATCCGATAAAAGTTTCCGACGACATTCTGATGATAAACTTATGTTAGAAAATTTCTGACAGATTTCCGACAGATTTAAGATGGAATTCACAACGGTTTAAAAATAATATAGGGTTTGCGTATTGTCGGGAATCAATGAGATTCTGATAGAAAGCCATCGTAAATTTTGTGATTTCTGATGACCAGCAGATTTTCGATAAATTCAAGACGGATTTCGCAACGGTTTGAAAATAATATCTGTTATTAGCTGTTTGAGTATTTCGTCGATTCCGTCGGTTTGTCGCATAATCAAAGAAATTTCGTCGGAATCTGTCTTAAAACCGTTGGAATGGAGACATACTTTTCCTATATAAACGCTTCCACCCTCTCTCAATTTCGCCACTACACCAAATAAAAAAAAACTCTCTACTCACTACATGAAAAAAAAAACAAATTTCTTCTTCTAAATAATCTATATAACTATCTATATATAAAGATGAAAGAAACTCTCCAGGGATTGACAATTCAACAATTTGAGAGTCAATAAGAAATTAGCATTTATTCCTCTTATTAATACATATACAAATTATTTTCTGAATATAAATGAATCAAGCATTTAATCTGATTTTTACTATGTTTAAATATTAAATCATAAAATAATAAAAAATTAAACTCAAATTTAATTTCAATATTTTATATTTATAAATAAAAAAACTAATATGAGATTTTAATTTGGTCTTTATCACTGTGTGTTATATTCATTATTTTTGAAATAACAAAATTAATTTATTCGCAAAGCAATTTAAAAAAATAAAAACAAGTAATAAAATTATAAATTTCCAAAAACTGAAGATCAAGTTTTTTTTAAAAAATATATAAGAGCTAGAAAATCACCACACACAAAAGAACATTCATTAAATAATAAAAAAATAACAAATTATCAAAACTAAAAAGAAAAAAAAAATATGATAACAAATAAATATAAAATTTATAGAGGCATAAGGAACATAGATAGAACAATTGAAAAAAATGTGAAAACAAAACATGAAAATAGTAAATTAAAAAAAGTAAATATAATCACTAGATGGAGATTTCAATGTAAAAAAAGTAAAAAACAATGGATTGAAAAAATTATCAGCTACAATCATCAAGGAAAAAAAATATATAAAATAAGTCACATGAGAAATCAAAAGTTGAACTAAAAGATTAGAAGCTTAACTTAAAATCTGTCCCAGCTATTAATTTATATAAAACATTTAATTTAAATTCAACTGTGTTACAAACATTAAATCATAAGCATAATTTAAATCTAATTTAAAACATCATAAGCATAAGTTAAATCAAATTTAATTTTAAATTAAAAAATCATATATATATATATATGAATAAAAAATAATACAGATTATCAGTGTGATTTAATCTTTATTTTTGAACTAATAAATATAATGTAATCTCAGTGCAAAAGAAGAAAAAAAAATATGAGTCAAAATTAAAAATAATAAACTAAGCAAGTTTTAAATATCTAAAGAATAAAAAAATAAGAAAAAATTACAGTACCAAAAGTAACGTTCAATAAACAATTGAAAGATAAAAAAATTATAAAAATATAGAAAAAATGATAAAGAGAAAAGAAAAATAATACAACAACAAATAAATATACAAAATATTAAAGATATAAGTAAAACAAATGAATTAGTGATAAATATATATATATATATGTGTGTATGTGTGAAAAAAACCTAAAATTATAATTTGAAAAAGTTAATAAATTAACACTAAATCATGATTTGGATAAAAAAAACTCGAAAAAACAATGGATGGATGAGCTCATTAAGATTATCAAAAAAATTATAAAATAATATAAGAAATTCAAAGTTGATAGTTTATAATCCCGCAGCGTAGCACGGGTTCTCTTCTAGGATCTGATAATCACCAACTAAAACTCTAGAGACCTGTGCTGAATCATCACCAACTAATATTCATTTTTTTCGAGCCAACATAAAAACTAAATTACACCATTTCACAAAAAAATCGGACTCATCTCAATATATATATTGGGTTATAGGCTTATAGCCATGTTCAATTTGCGCCAAAGTGATGTTGGCATGAGTTACAACATCACCATTCCTCGACAACAAATTTTTTTGACCCAAGTTACAACATTATTTTCAGGAACCAAATAATTATCCCCAAATTTTAGATTCTAAATATCGCTTGACCATTCTCCTCCTTACCTAAAAGCGATCAGATATACAGTAAAACCTCTATAAATTAATACTCGATAAATTAATAATCACTATAAATTAATAAATTTTACTGGTCCCAAGTTGGGCCAATGTAAAAATTCATCAAATTCGATAAGATAATAAGATAATAATTTTTTTGAAATCCTTATGTAAATATATGGTCCCAACAAAAACATAAATTAATACTTATATATATTTATACAAATATATGTAAATATAGTATTTTAAAATATGACTAATGTGTTTGCTTTTACTTAAGGTTGAAATCTCATTGGATCTTATTTATTTAATTATTATATCAGTAGCTTTTATTGATGTTTTACGATATACATTCAAAATTTATGATAACTTTTAGTGTGATAATTGATTTTCTTATCTGTAAATGTTTTTAAATGTACTGTAGTGTTATCTTCAATTTTGTCATCAATAATACGGATAGTAACCATAGTCTTTTTATAGATTTTAAACTTATGAACATGTATATTTTTACATGGATAATTCAATATGGTATTAAAAACTATTTTATTGCGATAGTTATGATTGTTAAACATAATTTACATTACGAAATTTGTTAAAGTTTTAAAATATAACATTATTTCAAAGAAATATTTAGAAAATTATATGCGGAAAGCAAATCTTCTCTATAAATTAATAATTATTAATTTATAGATAAATTAATATCACAATAAATTAATAAAATATCATGGTCCCGACATTATTAATTTATAGAGGTTTTACTGTATAATGACAACTAGAGTTTAAAAAGTGCTTTCTTATTGAGAATAGAATGTAGAAGTCAGTTAGGACTTTCCATGAATATAATTTCACTGAATGATTTGTAATTAACTTTATTTTTATGTATATCTAACTAGTTTTTTTTAATTGGGAATACCCAGAACGACATAAGATACCAAAGTTTTTGGAAAGCAAACTAATAAGACAAACTAGTATTCATTGACATCTCTCCTCCATGACCTTTATATAGACCACCGACATTTTCAATCGCATATCATTACATGCAGAATAAGTATTTATACAAATCATACCATTATACCCATATTTCATTTACTCATATTTTTAACATATATTACACATGTAAATTCTTTTTCATGTAATTTTTATGTTACTAAATTATATGAACATCCAAAAGATCTAGATTCAAATTTGTTTCAATCTTTAAATGTATTTAAGTTTTTCTCTAGTAAACAAAAAAACAAAAAACAAATTTGAAAATCGATTTAGATCAAACAACATGAATTATTTTTTATATAATGAAGCTACATGAATATATGATAAAATTAAAATAAAGAAAGGAGGACAACAAATTATCACGGGAATTGAGGCGCATGCAAATATCAAATAAATACAACAGGCATTTCATTATAGTTTGTTCTGGTTTTAAGGCAATTAAGGTGTCTGTTGAGTATCATTGGTGCCTCCTGAAGATGCAGGTGGCGTTGCAGATGTTGATGCCTCATTAGCTCCATGATTATCACCCATCTGTTGGTTTTGTGTCATGAGGAAATCCTCAGGCATAGGAATATCATTATATTCCGGTACTTTATCGGATCCCATGGTGGCCACGATCTCATTCTTTGCTGAGACGATTTGCGTTTTTAAATTGTTGAGAATTTTTTCGTAAGCCAAAGACATACCAACACAACCGGTTACGGGATCCTGTATGCGGTCTTCAGCTTCATAGCTGAGAGCCTTAACAGCATATTCACGTTGTAAAGGTGAGAAAGTCTCATTGCTCAGTATTTTGTAAAATTTTCGACTCCAAAAATTCTATGCACACGGACAAATTTTTCAGGCTCCGTCGATGGATAATATGGCGCAAAAACGCATTCACCTGTACACACGGATTTGAGGACTTTGCATGCAGAGCAAGGGTTGGAAGCCATTCTTCTTCTTTGTATTAACTCTTTTAACCCTAAAAGACACAAATGGATGAATTGAGAAGAAATAACTCTTGAATCTTTATATATAATAAGACTTCAAATTTAATTATAGACTACATATATATGTTTGTGGTTAAACTGTGAGATATTGAAATTTTTTTTCTAAAACTCCTAGTGGCTTTTAGGGAAAAAACAATTCTACGGCATTAATATAATATACAGACAAAGAAGATCAAAGTATTGATACTTGACTCAAAGATCCCAAAATCAAAATAAAATGAATATGCTAAATGAATTGAAAGAAAGACTGAGACTGTTTTTTTTTTAAAAAAAGGGCCTAGATTGAGACTATTATACCTCGAATATCTTGAAAATGTGACTGATGTCTGTAATGAGGAAAATAGTTTTGGTTCTTAAGCATTTATATACACTTTGAATTTGTATGGTGAGAGGCAAGTTCAATTATAATAAATGTTAAAATTTTGACTAGTACTTGTTAGATACCTTCCATATTTTCAATTACCATAATGTGATAGAGTAGACTACATACTATCTCTTTTGGAAAGATAATATCACATTACCCTTTTCTCAAAAAAATAAAAGATAATATCACATTTATCATTCATTAATGTGTACATTTAACATTTTTTTGATTCATTAATATACATGACTTTTTATTTTTGAATATTTCAATACATCAAAATTTAGATAGTTAGGGTTTATCTGGTATATCATAGCTGAATAGCAAAATAGTTGAATAAAAAACATACATATAATCAATTGGGCAAAAAAACTTAAAACTTAAGTAACTTAAAACTCTAAAATACTATTGTTAAAATTATTTTAAAATTTAAAATTTGCGAGATGGATTGAAAATAATTTGTTAAATTTTATTATTATCATTCTGTTCTTATCACTATAAACAGTATATACTCTACAAAATCATATTTTCAAACAAGAAAAACGTGAAAAAAAATTGATATTGTTCAACCTCGTAGTTTAATTAAGTTTTTATTTTTTATATATTATTTGAACATAACTTCATATTATTTGTTTAACCTCATATTATTTGTTTAAATTCATATTATTTGTTTTGATTTGTTTTAATTTGTCAACTTCAGGGGCATTTAGGATCTTATTCATTGAAAAAATGAGAAAACGAATATGATAACAAATAAATATAAAATTTATAGAGGCATAAGGAACAAAAATAGAACCAATTGAAAAAATGTGAAAACAAAACATAAAAATAGTAAATTGAAAAAAGTATATATAATCACTAGATGGAGATTTCAATGTAAAAAAGTAAAAAACAAAGGATTGAAAAAATTATCAGCTACAATCATCAAGGGAAAAAAAATATAAAATAAATCACAAGAGAAATCAAAAGTTGAACTAAAATATTAGAAGCTTAACTTAAAATCTGTCCCAACTATCAATTCTTATATAAACTATTTAATTTAAATTCAACTGTGTTACAAACATTAAATCACAAGCATAATTTATATCAAATTTAAATCTAATTTAAAACATCATAAGCATAAGTTTAATCAAATTTAAATTTAAATTAAAAAATCATAAATATATGAATGAAAAATAATACAGATTATAAGTGTGATTTAATCATTATTTTTGAACTAATAAAGATAATTTAATCTCAGTGCCAAAGAAGAAGAAAGTATGAGTCAAAATTAAAAGTAATAAGCTAAGCAAGTTTTAAATATCTAAAGAATAAAATTAAGAAGAAAACTATAGTACTAAAAGTATCGTTCAATAAACAATCGAAAAAATAAAAAATTATAAAAATATAGAAAAAATAAAAAAGAGGAAAAAAAATAATACAACAACAAATAAATATACAAAATATTAAAGATATAAGTAAAACAAAATTGGAATTAGTGATAAATATATATATGTGTGTGTATTTTTGAAAAAAATCTAAAATTCATAATTTGAGAAAGTTAATAAATTAACACTAAATCATTATTTAAATAAAAAAAACTCGAAAAACAATGGATAGATGAGCTCATTAAGATTATCAAAAAAATTTTATAAAATAATATAAGAAATTCAAAGTTAATAGTCTATAATCCCGCAGCGTAGCGCGGATTCTTTTCTAAGATCTGATAATCACCAACTAAAACTCTAGAGACCTGTGCTGAATCATCACCAACTAATATTCATTTTTTCGAGCCAACATAAAAACTAAACTACCATTTCACAAAACTTAAATCAGACTCATCTCAATATCAATATTGGGTTATAGGCTTATAGCCATGTTCAACTTGCGCCAAAGTGATGTTGGCATGAGTTACAACATCACCATTCCTCGACAACAATTTTTTTTGACCCAAGTCCCAAGTCAAGTATGAAATCTTGTTTTTTTTTACTGTTCATACAAGTTACAACATTATTTTCAGGAACCAAATAATTATCCCCAAATTTTAGATTCTAAATATCGCTTGACCATTCTCCTCCTTACCCAAAAACCAATCAGAGATATAATGACAACTAGAGTTTAAATGGTGCTTTCTTGTTGAGAATAGAATGTAGAAGTCAGTTAGGACTTTCCATGAATATAATTTCACTGAATGATTTGTTTATTAACTTTATTTTTATGTATATCTAACTAGTTTTTTTTTTTAACTGGGAACACCCACAACGACATAAGAGACCGAAGTCTTTAGAAGGCAAACTAATAAGACAAACTAGTATTCATTGACATATCTCCTCCATGACTTTTATATAGACCACCGACATTTTCAATCGCATATCATTACATGCAGAATAAGTATTTATACAAATCCTACCATTATACCCATATTTCATTTACCATATATTTAACATATATTACGCATGTAAATTATTTTTCATGTAATTTTTATGTTATTAAATTATATGATCATCCAAAAGATTTAGATTCAAATTTGTTTCAATCTTTAAATGTATTTAAGTTTTCCTCTAGTAAACAAAAAAACAAAAAACAAATTTGAAAATCGATTTAGATCAAACAACATGAATTATTTTTTATATAATGAAACTACATGAATTTATGATGAAATTAAAATGAAGAAAGGAGGACAACAAATTATCACGGGAATTGAGGTGCATGCAAATATCAAATAAACACAACAGGCATTTCATTATGGTTTGTTCTGGTTTTAACGCAATTAAGGTGTATGTTGAGTATCATTGGTGCCTCCTGAAGATGCCGGTGGCGTTGCAGATATTGATGCCTCATCAGCTCGATGATTATCACCCATCTGTTGGTTTTGTGTCATGAGGAAATCATCAGGCATAGGAATATCATTATATTCCGGTACTTTATCGGATCCCATGGTAGCCATGATCTCATTCTTTGTTGAGACGATTTGCTCTTTTAAATTGTTGAGAATTTTTTTGTAAGCCAAAGACATACCAACACAACCGGTTACAGGATCCTGTATGCGGGCTTCAGCTTCATAGCTGAGAGCCTTAACAGCATATTCACGTTGTAAAGGTGAGAAAGTCTCATTGCTCAGTATTTTGTAAACATTTTCTGCTCCAAAATTTCTATGCACACGGTCAAAATTTTCAGGCTCCGTCGATGGAAAATATGGCGCAAAACGCATTCACCTGTACACACGGATTTGAGGACTTTTCACGCAGAGCAAGGGTTGGAAGCCATTCTTCTTCTTTGTATTATCTCTTTTAACCCTAAAAGACACAAGTGGATGAAATGAGGAGAAATAACTCTTGAATCTTTATATATAATAAGACTTCAAATTTAATTATAGACTACATATATATGTTTTTGGTTAAACTGTGAGATACTGAAATTTTTTTTCTAAAACTCCTACTGGCTTTTAGGGAAAAATATTTCTAGGGCTTTAATATAATATACAGAAAAAGATCAAAGTAGCGATACTTGACTCAAAGATCACAAAACCAAAATCAAATGAATATGCTAAATGAATTGAAAAGAAAGACTGAGACTGTTTTTTTTTTATTTAAAAAAGGCCTAGATCGAGACTATTATACCTCGAATATCTTGAAAATGTGACTGATGCGTGTAATGAGGAAAATAGTCTTGGTTTTTAAGCATTTATATACACTTTGAATTTGTATGTTTAGAGGCAAGTTCAATTATAATAAATGTTTAAATTTTGACTAGTACTTGTTAGATACCTTCCATATATTCAATTACCATAACGTGATAGAGTAGACTACATACTCTCTCTTTTGGAAAGATAATATAACATTAACCTTTTCTCAAAAAAAAAAAAGATAATATCACATTTATCAATCATTAATGTGTACATTTAACTTTTTTTTTGATTCATTAATATACATGACTTTTTATTTTTGATTATTTCAATACCTCAAAATTTAGAGTTAGGGTTTATCTCGTATATCATAGCTGATTAGCAAAATAGTTGAATAACAAAATAGACATATAATCAATTGGACGAGAAAACTTAAAACTTAATAAACTTAAAAATCTAAAATACTATTGTTAAAATTATTTTAAAATTTAAAATTTGCGAGATGGATTGAATATAATTTGTTAAATTTTATTATTATCATTCTGTTCTTATCACTATTAACAGTATATACTCTACAAAATCATATTTTATAACAAGAAAAACGAGAAAAAAAAATCATATTGTTCAACCTCGTAGTTTAATTAAGTTTTTATTTTTTTTATATTATTTGAACATAACTTCATATTATTCGTTTAACCTCATATTCGTTGTTTAAATTCATATTATTTGTTTTGATTTGTTTTAATTTGTCAACTTCTGGGGCATTTAGGATTTGATTCTTTGAAAAAATGAGAAAAAGAATATGGTAACAAATAAATATAAAATTTATAGAGGCATAAGGAACATAGATAGAACCAATTGAAAAAATTTGAAAACAAAACAAGAAAATAGTAAATTGAAAAAAGCATATATAATCACTAGATGGAGATTTCAATGTAAAAAAGTAAAAAAACAATGTATTGAAAAAATTATCAGCTA